CAATATTAGATCTTCCAATTCATTACCATGAATGTCTTCCCATTTATTTGTGTCTTTAATTTCTTTCAGCAATGTTTTGTAGTTTTCAATGAATACAAGTCTTTTGCCTCCTTGGTTAAATTTATTCTTACATATTTTATTCTTATTGTAAATGAGATTATTTGTGGGTTGTTGTTTTTTTATATCCTCACCTGAGGATATTTTTCCATTTATTTTCAGAAAGAGTGGGATGGAGAGATAGAGTGAGAGAGAAACATTGACTGGTTGCCTCCCACTTGACCCAGACCAGGGCCCGCATGCCCTTGACCAGAATCAAACCCGTGACTCTTTGGTCTGCGGTGGACACTCTAACCGCTGAGCAAAACTGGCCAGGGTGAGATTGTTTTCTTAATTTCCTTCTTGGATTATTCATTGTTAGTGTGTAGAAATGCAAGCGTTTTTTGTGTGTTGATTTTGTATCCTAGAACTTTGCTGAATGTATTAGTTCTAACGGGTGTGTGTGTAATCTTTAGGGTTTTCTATATATAATATCATGTAATCTGTGAACAGATATGATTATACTTTTTCTTTGCAATTTGGATGCCTTGTATTTCTTTTTCCTCGCCTAACTGCTCTGTCTAGAACCTCCCATACTATGTTGAATAGAAATGGCAAGAATGGGCATCCTTGCCTTGTTCCTGGTCTTAGAGGGAAAGCTTTCAGTCCTCAACATTGAATGTTAGCTATGTGCTTTTCTCATACAGCCTTGATTATGTTGAGGTCATTTACTTATTTTCCAAGTTTATTGAGAGTTATTTTTTGTTTTGTTTTTTTTTTCAATTCATGGAAGAATGTTAAATTTTGTCAAATACTTACTCTGAATCTGTCGAGATGATTGTGTGGTTTTTGTCTTTCATTCTGTCAGTGTGGTATATTACACTGACTGATTTGGAGAAGAAATGAGGAAACCCAAGAGTTGGGCTTTAGATATTTTAGACTAGAGATGCCTGAAAGATATCCAGGCAGAGATGTTTAGTGGGCAGCTGCACTACAGATCCAGAGGCTAGAGTCGCCTGCGCTAGAGTGGAGGGGAAGAAGTCATAGGATATATTTAGGGAACCCAGAGGAAGGTGTGGTGACTGGAGTATAGTGTTCACCAAGAGACAAGAATGGAAAATAAACCCAGAATTACTTCCTGGATCTAGATCATGGTGCCAGGCTTTATAAGCTGAAATTACAAAAAGTTTTCTTTTTTTCTCTCCTTTGAATGACAGAGTTGTTTATTCATGGCTATTTCTGACTTAAAAAAGTAATATATGACCATTGTGAAAAAAATGACAATAAGGAGAAGTATAAAGAATAAAATACCAAACATCTATCCACCTATACTTACCAATAACACTATGGCCTGTTTCTTTCCAAGGATTTTTTACTTTTCATACCCATATTTTGTATATATTACAAAATTTAAATTATACTATATACAATAATTCTATATTGAATTTTTCACTTAATATTTTATAAGCTATGTGATTAAAATTCTCTGTAAACATAATTTTAATTGCAACACAGTGTTGTATTGGATAGATATAAAATAATTTGACATTCAATTATCACAGACATTTAGGTTGTTTTTTATTTTTCTATAATATATAAGCCTATTATAAATATTCCTATGTCTATATCTTTACTCCATTTCTAAAATGAGAATTTTTGCATCAAAGGGCATGAGCATTTTAAAGATTTCTGATATTATTGGCAAATTATTTTTAGAAAGGCTAAACCAATTTATATCCCTAGGGCATGAGTCTGCTCATTCACTGCATCCTTACTATCACTGAGCATTATGGCTTAAAAAATATTTACTAATTTTATAGATGAAAAATAATTTATCTGTCATTGAAATGTTCTTATTGTTTTATGAAATGAGGAAGAAACCAGAGTCTCACAAAAACTCCATTTTGGTAAATTCAAACCACACCACTATATCAATTTTAATATCACAACCAAGAACTTGAGCTTAAACTCACAAAATATGTATAGATTCTAAAAGACTAGTCCAAAGCAACCTAGAGATCCTTAGGACTGGTCCTAACTTGTTAGCTGTCTGTACAGGGTAGAGGGGGAAATACTAACATGTGGAATATAAGCAAGTTACAGTCCTTCCTCTACCCCTGCCATTGATGAAGAACTGAGCTATAACTCAAAAGCCATTTTTTTTTTTTATCCTCACCCGAGGATATTTTTCCATTTTTTGTACAGATAGAGTGGGAGGGAGAAAGAGGAAGAGAGAGAGAGAGAAACATCGATGTGAAAGGGACACATCGAGTGGCTGCCACCTGCACGACCAACCAGGGCCGGGGACAAACTGCAACCGAAGTACGTGCCCTTAGCGGGAACCGAACCCGGGTCTCTCCAGACCGCAGGCCGACGCTCTAACCGCTGAGCCAAACTGGCCAGGGCCAAAAGCCATTTTTCAATTCAAAAGGCACCTGGAGCAAAATTGCTCAACCTTCTGTACCATATACATACAAGAACTCCTTAGGCACAAGTTTGGATATGCCCAATAGGAGGGGTGCAGGGAGGAGTTAACGAGTAACCCCTGTCCTTATGATGAATTTTAATCTAGATCCAAAAAAATTAGGATCAAGTGGAATCTGTATTTTCACACAGGCTGAGCCCTATCATTGATTGGTTTGGACAGGACCTGGGTGTGGCCACTACGTTGCCAAAGGCAGACAGCACACAGAAACTACTCTGCTTGTGCAAAGGTTAAATGGCAGGTGTCGCACACCAAGGTCCTTTCATAATGCTTATCTCAATTCAAGCTCTGGACTGTGGCCTTACAAGTTTGAACATTTGTTGGTGATATGCTCAAGGAGGCTTTGCCTCTTGGGAGCTCACTTTCATTAACCAAGCTCACAGAGTTGTACAAACCAGAATGTCAGTTAATTATGTACGTTCTCTATCTGCAAGCAGATTTATATGAGAAACTAAATGACAATCAGAAAGTCTCCCAAGAAGCAGGGGCTCTGAACAAGGAAAGGCGACAGGACAACCTGCAGGTCTCCACAGAGGGCTACTGAAGGCCTTGGCACATACTGCGTGGGATGGCTTTCATTAAATTTATAAATGGTCCTCCTTCCAAGCTCAGCTCAAATATCCCCTCCTCAAGGAAGCCTCCCCAATTCCAGTATAGGTTTCCCACTCTTGTTTATACATTTTCATTACACCCTGCATTTTCATTTAAGTACTTGCAACGATTTTAATTAAAAGATTTTATATGCTCTGTTGTTTATCTTTCAGTTCCCTGAAAGTCAGAGCCATGCCTGTCTTACTACTTTATTCTCAATCTCAAGTGTATATAGTTCATAGTAGGCACTCAAATATTTGCGGAAGGGAGGGAGGGTGGGAAGCATAAGAGAGTATGATGACTACGAGTCCACCATGGGAACAGCCTTCCATTGGGACTTTGAGTCCCTTAGTCAAGATTCTCTTTTGACAGTGTCAGAAATGGGCACTGCCAAAGTCTGCTCTGCTTGCTCTCCTTTTCTGTGTGTGTTTCTACTGCTGGCCAACCACCTTAATACTTGCTTTGGACATGCAGTACCTTTGGTCAGGTTACAATTTAATCAGACTGGCCTAAGTGCCTTTCTGTCTGCTAAAGTAGCTTTGTATACCCCTGGCCTGACCTATTTTATGGTCAATTAAATCTCAGGGAGTAGCTGTGCTTCCAAGTCCTTGGGATTTCTATACTGTCAAACCCCTGTAATCGTCACATCATTACCCAGGGTTAATGGAGATGCTCCGAGATGCACCGCAGTCATGGAAGAAATAAGACAACAATGTGTGCATGTGGCTGACGCCTGTTCAGACTTCAAACAAGCAGAAGCTAGAGATGACATTCTTACATGCTTTAGATATATTCTCAAAATATGATATTAATTTTGATAATTAAAAACAAAACGAGCACTGGCCAGGAGTCTGGGTGAGATCTAGATTGTTTTGATCCTGGCTCTGACACTAATTCAGCTGTCAGCAAGTCCAATTCAGTGCTGGCTTCTGTCAAATGAAGGAGTTGGAATAACCACTATAGTCACTTCCAGTCTTGACATAACATTATTCAATGATTATTTTTCATCTAAGAACTTCTCCTCGGCTTCAAAAGCACCTCAAAAGGTCAATCCAGCTGCTGGCAATGACCACCACACACCCAGAAGCCTGGGATAAGCATCTCTAAATAAATCACAGCAATATATTAGGATTTTCATGATTACAAATGAAGTCATTTAAGAGACAAGCCGATATCCTAGGGACCTGACACCAGCTAACACAGCAGTTTCTCTGATACAAAGATCTTCTCAACACTTGTTAATCTCAGGATGGAGGACTGAAATGCCGGGGCATCTAGCCAGATCTAAGGTACATTCTTCTTTTGATTTTCCCCATAAATTATTTTCCATATGCAAAATAGTTAATCATGACCAAATGTTTCCACAGGTATATAACTTTTATAGTCTTTGCAAAAAGCACTTCTCTTCCCTATTCTTGATATTGGGAGCTCAACTTCCTTCACCTCAGCCCTGCAATGCACAGATCCATGCACAGACCCTGTCGCTGGTGTTAAATTACTCTCTCACATGGGCATTCAGCTATAATATAAACTCATTATGAATCTGTTTATAGCCAAAAACTCATCTCGGTTTTAATTAGTTGGTATGTTAAATTCAAAGCCATATTTATGTTCAAATATCCTACAAACCCTCCTTAGAAAAAGGCATCTCTGATGAGGCCCTTCCCTGTTTGAAAGAAAACTACCAAAAGATTAAACACAGCCCACTAAGGGGTTTTCACTCCAGACACACATATTTCTTTCCACTGCAGCAACTGTGAATAAACTAAGCACAAAAGTGTGAATTCCAAAAGATTTCAAATAGGATATTTACAAAAATAAATGAACAAAACCCTGAGATGGTATCTGTAGATGGGATTGTGGGATTGGGAATAGGTGTACTACTTGCCTCGAATAGTAAGACTCCACCCCCAGGGCCTCCCGCACACTGGTGATGTGCTGCTCCAGGGCCGAGCTGGTGGCTGTTGGAAGAACTGCACTGCTGCCAGCCTGGAAGTCACTGGCATTTTCCATTGTGTTGTCACCCAAGTAGTATTCATGAAACTTCAGAATTCCTGAAACAAGACAGGCACAGTCAATGTTACAGAATTGGGGTTGGGGGAGGAAAAGGTGACGGCCGGGACAGCAATGCCAACGCTAGGTGACCTCTTTGACAAGCATGCCCTCCTTCAAAGCATATGGAGAAATCCTGAAACTCATGATCTCAAGAGCGCTTCAGAAGTTTGGTCAGTACCCTTTCGGCAGTTCTCACCATCAGGCGTGGTGCTTGACACCAGGGCTTTTGCATGTGATGATCTATTCAGAAGCCCCTGAATCAATGGCTACTTCATAGGTATTTCAAAACAGAGGCTTCTGAGAAGCATCAACTAGGGGAAGTTTTCTTTCAGGAATAGTACATGAGCATGCCAGTGTTTAGACATGCCAGAAACTGAAATCCTGAGTAAAAATATAACCAACCAAGTACAAACTATGTTACTCAAAGACCTTTCATTTCACAAAAGCAAATCAAAACAAATATGTAGTAAAAAGGCCAGATAAAAACATTAAAACTATTTTTAAATAAGAGTAACTGGTCAATAGTCACTAATGGATTAAAGAAGCAAAAAATGATGGCTGCATGAAACTGAGAGAATCCATAGTGGTTTTCTAGCAATAAACATAAGACATTCTCAAATGGTAATGAGGTGTGTCAAGCCTGGAAAATGCTGGTCCTCTCTGATTTGATTAGAGCCCCAGTGAAAGCTTTAGAGTCTCATTAAGAGCAAAGAGGAACAGAAAGAGAAACAATAGCATCCTCATTATACATGGCTCATTATTATAGGGATTTGGATACACCACCTGTCAAATCGTGTCCCCAAAACATAACAATCACAGAGAGAAAGAGCTTGCTATCTCTGTTGTCAACCATGTCCTCCTGGGTATTAGTGCCCCGATGGGGGCTGGAATACACAGGGATTCATTTCACTGTAGCTGACACTCTCGCAAGTCACCATGCACAGCACAGCTTAAAACCTTTAGAATAAAAGGTCAGAGGTAAAAATGTTCTTTATTGAAAGCCCATAAAAAACATGAAATTAAGGGGGAATTATAAACAATAATGCTGAGGCACAGAATGTACAGGCATGAGTGCTTAGAACCCAAGAAGCATCTGAGAGTTGTCATCCAGCCATCATTTTTTTAAATCAAAGGGATGGAAACATAATCAAGAAAACCTTATCAATTTTCCTGGCAGCTGAACTTTTTGAAATGGGCTTACAGGTATTCAAGAAGCTCATTCTTCAAGATTCCCAATTAGAAGATCCACTTTCCCAGTCAATAAACTCTAATTGGATCTGGTATGTCTCCAACATGGTAAAGCCATCAGCATTTTATTATGCAAAAAATATGGCCCTAACAGCTAATTAGTGGTTCTGTACTTAGTGAAACTGTTACAGCCTGAACATTTAATGCTGATTTAATCAAAGAGGATTTTTATTTCTGAAACAGATTTACAATGGATGAAACTGGTTAAAATGGATTATGTTAAACTCAGAAATGTCAAGCATAAGACTTCATTTATATACTGTGAGAAGACTTGCCATTATCATTTTAGTCTCTTTAACTTTACCAGGATAAAGGGTCAAAACCATTAAATCATATCTAGAAAGAACTCTTTAGGACTTATAGTCATCGCTTTATTAGCTAATGAACAACAGCTGCCTAAAAACAGGTTGGCTAGTGAAATTAATCTTTTTGCTCTTAGTCTTCCTTGATAAATGCTTCCACATTCACTGGTGAGGAGCAGCAATTTCTTGGGGGAATGAGAAAGCTGGGCAGTTTAATTAATTGAATGCCCCACCATGGACTATCAGCTGTAGCTGAGATTTTGCTGAAAGCCCACATTAGCTTCTTAGTCTGATCTATGGTAATACATCTTTTCCACCTCTATTCATTAGACATTCACAGTCTAGTGTATAATTGCCCTATTCCTTCAGAAAGGGATCTTACCTGCCCCAGGAGCAAGCAGCCAGCTATACAGGTAGCCCGCGGCCAGAGAATAGTAAAGTACTAGTCCCCTCTGGCCATTAACCATCTCTAAGATCTGATCAATAGTGACTGGAGAGTAGGGGTCAGAGTCCTGTTGTCCTGTTTGTCGTTCTACAAGAAGATCGGCAAATGCCCTTGTCCGTCCTCTTTCTGCCACAGCCAGGGCCTCATCATGGTGGCCTACAAGACAAAGAGACAGACTGAGGACTCCGTGGGAAGTGTGCTTTCTAAGAGAGGGCCATCAGCTACAGGGATCCTGGGCAGAAACCTCACTACCCCTGCCCTCCAATGTGTGGCAGAATCTCAGTCACACTGTTTCAAATTCAACCCCCTGCCTCAGATGATAGGTGCAGTGTCCGTTCTTATAAAATCCCACATTTTCAGATTCCACACCACCCTAAGGTCTTAGGCCGTCCCCTGTCTTGCAGCCACACCACAGAAGAGCCAGCTTTACTTAGGGGATTCATCCTCAGCATCTGCTCCATATCCTGAGTTGCCTCCCAGCCTCCTGGCTTCTGATCTCATTCACTCGGCTCTTTGGACTTGATGCTTTATACTCTAGTTACCCTCTTATTTCCTGCTCAACTTTGATTCTAATTTGACATTGGCAGATGAACCCTATAGAACTTGGCTCTTGCCTATCTATCTCTCCTCAATGCAGCCCCTCTACACTTCACACTGTCCAGTCCCACTTCCTTATCCTCGCCCCCAATTACATCTCTTTGCCTTTATACATGCTGGTCCTTCTGCTAAGTGTGTCCTTCTCCCTTTTCTTGACCTTGTCTCAAAAAGAAGGATCCTAATAGTTGTCTACCAATCTCAAAGGGCTACTATAAAGAGTAAATGAGGTACTAAATATGAAGATGCCTGGTTGACATTATTCAAAGTGATATATATATATATAGATATATATAGATATACATATATCTATATATATCTATATATATATATATATAGATAGATAGATAGATATATCAGGTGATTATTGTTAGAGCTGATATCTCATTCCATTCTATACCCCCACAAATTTACTTCTCTTCTTTTCTCTTCTAATCCCCACAGGCAAAGGTTTTAAACAACGTCTGCTTGTTTAAAATTGCTTTTCTCTTTTAAGTTTTTCCTGTTTTTCAATTCAACTTCTAATCCACCTCCTGTAAGAAACTAGTCTGTAATCTAGTTTAAAAGCTAGTGCACAAATATGAGAGCACACAAAACAGAAAGCAACATACTTTCAAGTGAGAATTGTTTAGAAGTGCTGAAGGAACATAATGCAGAGGATTTGGTTGTGTCATAAATATAAGTATGGAAGAGTTTCTAGAACTAGGGTCCAAAGAGAGAGCAGGCAGAGGAAGGAGACCAGATGCTATACCTCTGAAAGCACTTCAAGGATGCCTTTTTGTTTCCTGCAGTTTGAGTATCAGTAGAAACTGGGGATTTATACGTTGTATATGCAAATATCTCCTTTTACTCTATTAAGATATTAACTGGAACAGCAGGAATGATTTCTATGCACATTGGAAAATTGGCCCCAAAGTGTGAGACAGACTTAACACTGTGATTATAGTAGATACAAATTATAATCTCAGGAAATGAGTACATTTAGTAGATCATTTTTGCAGGGGAAGTTTCAAGTATTCACACACACACACACACACACACACACACACACACAGCAAAGGACAGGTTATTGACAAGGCCTCAGCATTCAACTTCAAAGACATCATTAGTTCCAATAAATACCTCCTCAACCTAAGTTCTGGGTTGGGGAAAATGGTCTGCAGAGATGGACAGGTCTGTCTGAGAAGAGACAGAGGACAGGGCAGTTGGCAGAGGGTGGCTACAGAGTTCAGGCCAGGTGAGGGAAATGTATGCTGCCTCAGTGCAATGCAGCACGCAGGCCTGGGAGAATTACCACAGGCCATGCACAGTCTAGAGGGCAGACCCAGATATTGAAAACATTTACTAGACAGAACTAAAAACTGTGTGGGCACAGGAAATAGAGAAGAGACCAGGTGTCATCTCTGGTTCTTCCTGTTAATACTATTGAGAGGGAAGCTGGGAGGAACGCCTGGTTCAAGTGTCCCTGTCTCCAGGACAGTTTCTCTGGTCCCTGGGGCTGCCTGCCAGTCTGGTTTCTTTCCACAGCACCTGAGTTTCTCTTACCCTATCATCCATCATCCCATCCTGGACTCACTGACTTTGCCTCTCAACAAGCTAAGAGCTTCCTGGAGTCAGGAACCAGGCCTTCTTGATTTTAATCCCTAGGGCTGACAAACAGCACATCATAGGTGCTCTGTACGTATTTGTGGAATAAATGAACAAACGTTCAATGGCTAAACTGTGTTTGTGGCTTCACAGTCTTTTGTAATGAAAAATCGTATTTGATTACAGCTCTCACTAAAAATGTAAACACACGAGCACACGTGCAAAGTGGGAACCCCAGCTGCTCTCACCTAGGCTGACAAGCACCCGCTGCAAGGCCTGGTAGGATGACGTCTGCAGATCAAAGAGGGAGAGTTTGTAGTCCGTGCTCAGCTGCGCCTCATGCCGGATTGTTTCAAACAAGGCCGACGCCCTATAGAGCTGCAAATTGGGGACAAAGAACATTATCCATCCTCCAGAAGCCACGCTCCAGCTATTCACTGACTAAAGACAATTTTTGCTCACATCTTGGTGCACACCTAAAAAAATTTTTTAAAGAGTTGAAAGGAGGAATCTTCATTTCCAGGTAGGTCCTAGTGGAAAGGCATCAGATCATACCTGATAAACTACAGTTTATGCAATCAATTTTTGACAGTTAAAGGCATCTAAAATACAGGGGGTATAGACTTATAATCTGAAAATGGTAAAACAAAATATCAGCTATGAACCAAACAAGTGCTGATTTTGAATTAAAAGAAACACACCAGCCCTGGTCAGTTTGGCTCAGAGGTTAGAGCGTCAGCCCGCAGACCAGAGAGTCCCGGGTTCGGTTCCTGCTGGGGACACATACCATGGTTGTGGTTTGTCCCCAGCCCCGGTTGGGGTTGTGTGGGTGGTGACCACTGGATGTGTCTCTCTCACGTTGATGTCTCTCTCTCTTCCTCCCGCTCTATCTGAAGATGAATGCAAAAAAAAATGTCCTTGGGTGAGGATAAAAAAAAAAAATTAAAAAAAAAAAAACACATCAAAAAAACCTTTCCGACCTGGTTGATTTGGCACAGCGGTTAGTGCGTTGGCCTGAGGGCCAAAGAGTTGTGGGTTCGATTCTGGTCAAGGGCTCATACCTTGGTTGTGATTCAGTCCCTGGCTCTGGTGGGGTCATGCAGGAGGCAACCAATCGATGCGTCTCTCTCACATCGATGTCTCTCTCTCTCTCTCTCTCCCCCTCTCTCCCCCCTCTCCTACTCTCCCATTCTATCTTCGGATAAATGGAAAAACACCCTCGGGTGAGGATTGAAAATAAGCCTTTCTTCTGGCCATCAAGCCACCCTAATTCAGCACTCGCACACCTCTTGGTGCGGAAGGACTGAAGTGAGACCAGGCGTGGTGCAGGCGGCTGCGAATAGACAAAACCGGGGAATGAGATGAAGGCAGCGCCCTCTCTGGAGGGGACAGCTTCCTGAAGGCGGCTAAGCTAAATCGAACACTGACTTCCACAACAGGGGCCCAAGAGCAGATCTTGGCTGGACAAGCTCCCTGAGCCACGCTACAGGGACACCTGTAGAGCCCGACACTCAACTCTCCTCAGGGGACACTTTCCTGCTCCTCTAAAGGTTTCTGGATCAGTGAGACCACAACACTGTGGTGTTTATATGCTGAAAACACAGTATTAAAACTTGAAGTTCATGCAAACTTTAAAAATAGAATGCTAAAACTAAGAGACTTAGACTAGTAGAGGAATGTATTTCCAACTCTGCCGCTAATTTGCTGTGTGACTTTCAGTAAGATTCAGAGCCTCAGTTTCTTCTCTAGAAAGGGGACAGTTATCATTCTACCTCACACAATTACTTAAGGAATATATTTAGTGAGTGAAAGTACTTTGAAAATTATAAATCACTATGTCAACACAAGTTTAATTTTTAAAACCAGGAAATTGGAGAATTAATTCTTTAAATTGCCTTGAATAGTTTAAAAAGTACAGTAAAATAACATAACATTTCAGGATGTTATGGCACAAATTCAGTCAGATCACGTCCTCAATTCCTGTGAGCATCCCTGATAGGAGCCTTGATTCCCTCATCCTTTGCCCCCTCTGCCTAGCACAATGCCCTCCGCAGTGATCACTCACATGCCGCCTAAGCGGTTAAGTGTATGATTGTAGATGACGCCATCTCACAACTCCTCCAACCTGCCAGGGAACCCATAACTCTAGGGATATTTCCAATCTCCAGAGCCAGCATGAGAGTGGGCTCCTCTTTAAGCATTTGTATTTAGGCAGAAACATAAACTCTGTGTGTGTGTGTGTGTGTGTGTGTGTGTGTGTGTGTGTGATGGGGGGTAACCATTGGTTGAACTAGAAATCAGGACATTAAATCCAATAATTATGAATTCTCAGATTACTTACTTCTGTCACAAAATGTATGTATGTAACTTCATATTAAGAATTAATGAGAAACAAGAACCCCAAAGAAATTATTGAGAAATCTATCACACAACTGAGTGAGATCTTTACTTCAACACTTCTGGGCTGGTACAGGCTGGAAATCCTGTAACCCACGTGTAGAGGTCAGCACCTTCTGGCCAATGTCATTACTACTAGGATAGCAATTCCAAGGTCTCTCATGCTGCTGAAAAGAAAATCCACTTGGGACAAGGTTCTCCTACTCACCTGGTGTTGAGCCTCCTCCAGGTTCCCACTAGCCCAAAGGGAGAGGCCAAGACCATGGCGAATTTTGGCTTCATCTTCTCTTCGGCCTAGTTGCTCAGCTAACCTTAAACCTGAAATTAGACAGAGAAATTTTAAGGATACAGAGAATATCCAGTGTCCTAGAGGGTAATTCTGCCTCAGGTGTATATAAAATATATTGACAGCTAAAGTGCAGGACAAGAGTAGAATCAGCCAATGCACAGTAAGCATTCTCTTCAAATTCTGTGATGGTAGCAACCTTTCCAGGATACCCCAAGATGCCCCAGTAAGAGCTCAGGTGATGGCTATTAGCAGGAGACAGGTTTACATGGCAGGCAGAAACAATGAAATGAATGGAACCTAACCTGCCCCCTCCCAGATGTGAAATCCCTAGCTTGCAATGGAAAACTACTGGCCTATAAACTGATCTAACCAATTCTTTGGCTGGCAAAAGCTTTTCCTGACAGTGCCATAGTTAAGCACAGAAGCCAAGCTGATACATTTTCCTATTTCATGTGCACAGAATCCAATCAATCTTTATGGGAAACATATTTCATGTCCTCTGGAAAGCAGAATTCTCACACCACCTGACACTGCCTTCTATCACTGATGCTATGGACACATTTCATGTCCAATCTGCTTTTCTTTCAAGGCTGAGACTCTGATGTCCCTCAGCGGGGTTGCAGAACAAGTGCTATTATGAGTCCAAAGTCCTAAATGAGACTGCCCTCATTCTAATGGCTTTCAGATAGACACCTGCAGTTTGGGTCACTTACCTACAGTAAGCTTCTGAATTTCAGGGCACCAGCAACCTCCAAGGCTTTGTGGGAACCAAACAGGAGGGTGACCACATACTGTATTGGCCACTAAGTTCTCAGCATCACTTTGCCCTCATTACCTTGCTCTCTGTACACAAGCGTTAGCTTGTCCAAAAGACAGCATGAAGGCTACCACACTACAACTGGGCACACAAAGGAAGGACTTCCTTTTTCTAATCTAATTCAGGGTGGGTGGAAGGCTGCTTCTGAGCATGCTGGGCCCATGCAATTTCAGACTTTTGAAAAGGACAGTTGAGAGGCTAATAAAAGCAATACTCAGGTTCAAGTTCATAAAATAGTATGCATTTCAAAATGCACATAACTCAGAAAACTTAGAAATAGCATTTTAAGTTTTAAATCATGTCACTGGGTAACAAAAAAATAATACTTTCAAGTTATTCACATTTTAAAATACCTCACAGAATAGAAACACCAATGAAAGAAGATGGTTCTTGGATGAAAACCAGGAGGATACTGGTTGTTTTAACCTTCAACAAGCTAACCATAGGCATTCTTCAATATAACTATCCCTGCCAGGTGTGGGTCTATGCTCTGGAAGTAAAATAATAGAGGTACCTCCCCCTACCAGGTATGTTCTGTGTAAACTGGGATTTTGCTTTGTTCGCTGCTGGGTCTCCAGCATGTAGGGCACTCCCTGGCCCATATTCAGAGGTTCAACAGTGAAAATCTAAAAGCCCACTGGAGAGACATCATACCTGTCATGCCCCCATTTCTATCTGCTTCTGCCTTTTAGGAATCTGATCCACCCATCCAGCTCTCCTGGAGCTGGTCTGCTGGAAACTAGTTGCATGACTCTAGGTAAAGGCACTAAATTGTTCCAGGCTCCTTTTCTTCATTTGCAAAGAGAAAAAGCTGGATGAGACCAGTGGTTTTAATCAAGGACATCTACACAAATCACCTGGAGAACTTGTTCAAAAGACTCAGACCAGGCTCCACCTGTGAGATTCTTCTGCAGTGAGGCCCTGTGAGGTTGATCCATAGCTCCCTCTGAAAATCAGGAGAGAAAGCACTGAGGTGGTTTCCAACTGAACTGCTCCCTCACTGCAACAGGGTCCAGACCCCACTCAGAGAACTCAGAAAGGGCCTTCCAGATGTCCTGCTCCTGTCACAGGTCATGAGAAGAGGTATCTTGTTCGGCCCACAGGGCACCCAGGCTCTCTGGTAGAGCACATCCACAAAATAGACACAGTGGAGACACCACAGTAAGAATTTAGGTCTCTGTGAGACTTAAAACTACAAGAAACAATAAAAATGAAATTGAGTTGCCCATAAATACAGAATTATGTCACAATGTCTCAGGCAAAGCAGCTGCTTTATAGAAACAATATTTCAGCAAGTACAAAAGAACACAGCTGAAAGGTTGTCATATGCTGGGTCTGAATTTAATAGTTTTCACAAATTCAACTGAAAATCTCCCCCAGTCTGTTGGAATTTTACCACAGTCAAGTTTTAGGAAACCAAAAGCCAATTCTCATGTAATGCATTGAGGCAAGCTCCCACTGGGTGGGAGCCGAACAAGGTCTGGGAAGTGGCTCTCAGGCTCTCGGTAACCTCTCAGCCTGCAGGCAGTGCAGTTCCTGGTCTGTGCACAGAAACATCGGCCTCGAGCCCATGTTCCACTTTGCTTCCAGCTTCCTGCTCTCCAGGCTTCCCAGGTGGAGCTCAGGAGGGACAGGGGATACGCTTGCACAGCCCTGCTCTGTTCTAGGAAGGGGAGGAGCAACTCCACACAGGGTCTTACATGGTTCCTGGGGTCAGAAAACCTGGGCTGAGCCCCACGCCACGACTGACCGACCGCATGGTCAGGATCAAGTCACTGTACTCTCTGAGTCTCAGGTTACTTAGCTGCAAATGGGAATAAAAATGTCTCAAGGTTACTGTGAGAATTAAGTCCAATTAAATAAACTATATATGTAAAAACCCTTAGAAACTATAAATGAGAGTTTTTGCCTGAAATCAGAAACAACTTCCTTTTATTAGTGAGGCAAGAACATCATACTTGTCATTTTCCCTTCCCAGAATGGGAGGGTGCGATGTGCCCATGTGAGACGTGCTTTCCACAGTAGCAGTGGAAAGAAGCAAAGGGTGAACACAGCTACGGGGTTGCTGCTCCACGAGGAAGGGTGCCTCCAAGGACTGACTGCTCTGCTAAGGTAACAGCATGGAAGGGAGGGGGGAAGGGCAAGGAGGGGAAGAGGAGAAGTGGGGGAGGGAAAGAGGATGAGGAACAATAGCAGTAGCAGCCACTTTCTGTGCCTGCCTGGAACAAGACTACTGTGCCACCACCCCAAGCACTGAAGGTAATAAGCTCTGGGAAGGAAGTCGAGTCAACTGCTTGAGTGACTCTCAGACTGATGTTTCAGGATTAGACTTCAGCTGCTACATCAAAACTGACTTCTATAGAGTTGTGATATATTTTAAGAATTTTCTAGAGAGACAACAGGGCTTGAAACAATGGGCATTTTCCTCTGATGCTGACTCTTAAATTTTACATGATTAGATCTTACTTGATTCACCTTGGGAGAATGTGTTGCTCACTCAGTGAAAGATTCTGAAAAGCAAGGAGGGTATCTGCTCCTAGGGCAGCTGGTTGGCAGAGTAAAACAAACTGGGTAATGCATTCTGGACACTAAAATGCCTTTGTATCATTAAGGAACACCCAGTGAGGGGCACCATGGTTTTGGAGTAGAACTGAAGTGGCCTTTGAGATCCTCACTGCAAGATGAGGTGGCCACTCAGATAGTGCACACTTCCTTCTGAGTAGACTCTGAACTTCATCTCAGAGTAAACACAGAGACCATGACAGGACTTTGCACTTACCTTCCTGTAAGTACATGACCGCCTGGGAATAGTTCTGCAAAGCATGATGGGTCCTTCCGAGGCTACTATATGACACTGTCTTGGCCACCAAGTCATTCATCTGGGCAGCGATGCTCAAGTGCTGTTCTTGATAGACCACAGCCCTCTCGAAGGTGCCCAGAGATTCGTATGTCAGACCCAGGTTGCCATAGGCTCGGCCCTGGCATGTGGGGTTGTTGGTTTCCTCTGCAATCTGCAAATCGAGCTGGTGGTACTGCAGGGCTGTATCATATTCCCCCATCTGCTGGTAAACTCCCCCCAGGCCACAGGCCGCGTCACTTTCCAGAGACCGGTCTTTCATCTCCCTAGCAATGTTCAGCTGGCGTTCAAGGCAGGAAATGGCTTGTTCGTAATTCCCTAATTGGCTGTGTAGACTTCCCAGTTCTCCATAGGCCTGGGCTTTATTAAAGGCCTCCCCGAGCTCATGGGTAACCACGAGCCTCTTTTCAAAGCACACAAGGGCTTGCTGCAAGCTCCCCATTGCCCTGTGGGGATGTAGACAAAAAAGCAATGATATTATTTTGTGCAGGTGCAGACATACTAAAGCCCCTGAGAAAATGAAAAGCATTTGTCACTGTCACTTACTATAGAAGCTCTTAACTCCTCTTCTAGCTAAAATCTATCATGTGCCCTTAGAGTGAGATGCAGGGGAATTTCATAATCTGGAAAGCAATTCAAAAGTCATCCCTTAGTGACCTTCCCAAGAGCTTGAGATTCAATGGGATATACACCCCAGAGGAAACATAAAATATATTAATAGGCACAATGATAGCAAGTGAACTGTTTGGTTCTTTGGAGCCTCCCAATTTCCACTACCGCTTAGACTATGTTTTTGAAATCACTTTACAACGGCTATAAATCTTTCACCCTGAGCTCCTCAGAGCACTCTGTGGGTGATGATTTAGTTTGACCCTTGCCCTTCCTCCACTCCAGGAGCCCTAATCCCCTGCCTATCTGGAGAGGCCATATATTTTGCAGACACAGCCACCTTCTTGGGCTCCCCACATTCAGAAGAAAAAGCAGCACCTTGGCCAACAGTGTGTCTTTTTGTTCTGCTAAAAGAAGACATGATAAGACTGGGAAAAACATACATTTTGGCGGCAGACCAAACCAGTTGTGAAGGGGCACTTAAATTCCTTTTCCTGAGCCTCAGTTTCTAAATGATAATAAATCCCACATCCTATAGCAGATGATAATGCATGTAGAGCAATACAGGATTACTATAAATATTAAGCAAGATATCTATGCATGGTACGTAGCATGATGATAGTATATGTTTATTCACTCCTACCATTATCAGCTGGCTTTTCCTAAAAGCAACAAAACGGGGATCAAATAACTGGTGGATACAGATGATGTATTAAAAAATACATTCAGCCCTGGCCGGTTTGGCTCAGTGGTTAAAGCGTCGGCCTGTGGTCCAGAGACCCGGGTTCGGTTCCCGCTAAGGGCGCAAACCTCGGTTGCAGTTTGTCTTGGGCCCTGGTTGGTTGTGCGGGTGGCAGCCACTCGATGTGTCCCTTTCACATCGATGTTTCTCTCTCTCTCTCTCTCTCTCTCTCTCCCCCCCCCCCCACCTCTCTCCCTCTCTCTCCCTCCTACTCTATCTGAACCAAAAATGGAAAAAAAATCCATTCATATAACATGGTAGGGATTCAGCAAAGATCTGTTAAGTTGATTCACTCATCTTCCCCATTCTTATTATCTCTTTTATACTCCTCATTACAATATAGTCAAAAAGGCAATGCAATTGGAGCCAGAGAGCCCTGGGTTTGACTTTCAGCTGTCGTTGTTTTTAAACTATCTAATCTTGGAGATTAACCTAAACTCTCTGGGCCTTAGTTTCTCTTCCATAATATAACAGTAATATTATCCCCTGCTAAATTCACAGAATCATTGGAAAAACCAAATGAGATATGTATGAAAATGTTTTGCAGTTAATAAACCACATGCAGACATTAAGTTGCCATTACTCTCACAACTGCTCTTTGTCAACCACGTTTACCTGTGTCCATTTCCTAGGCCCCGGTAAGCCTTGGCTTGATCTTGCATGCGATTCAGACTCTGGGCAACAGATAAATATTGTTCATAGTACTTAATAGCTTCTTCATAATCACCCAGGGCCTCATAGCAATCCCCCAGATTGCCGTAGGCCCGGCCCCTGTCAAGCACAGACTCGTTTCCACTTAGCTGCTGCAGCATGGCCAACTGCTGCTCGAAGTAGCCAATGGCTTCTTCCATCACATTCATGTTCATCTTTGTGATACCCATGTTGCCATAGACCTGGGCTTCTAGACTTGGATCCTTCAGCTTCTGCCCCAGATCCAGCTGCTCTTCATAACATTTGAATGCCATTGTGTATTTCCCAAGGGCCATGTAGACAGCAGCCAGGTGCCCGTGAGCTCTGCACTCCCCCGGCAAGTCACTCAGCTCCTGATATACTTCCAGTTCCTGCGTGTGATAACCCAAGGCCTTGTCATATTTCTGGATCATTCGGTATGCATTGCCCAAGGCTGCATATGCACTGGCCTCCAGTCTTCTGTCCTTTACATGGTGAGCTAAGCCCAGCTGCTGCTCATAGAATTTTATTGCACCGTTTATATCTTTTTTACAGATGAATATATCGCCCAGGTTCCCTAGCGCTCTGAATTTAGCCTGGGAATTATTCAGGGACTGAGCTAGGGACAGCAGGTACTTTTGACACTCTTCAGCTTTGTTGAAGTTCAGCAGAGCCTTGAATGCCAGGCCCAAGTTGCAGTAAGCTTTTGCTTGGCTCAATTTGTCATGAAGGTCTTTGGCCAGTGCCAAATCCTGCTCATAGTACTTCACTGCCTCCTGGTAATTTCCAAGGCAGTAATGGGCATAGCCAAGATTGTGGCAGACCTTTCCTTCTCCTTCCATGTCTTGAAGGTCTGGAGAAAGCCGGAGGTACTGTTCATAATAGGGGGCAGCTTGGACATATTCCCCCCGAGAGCAGTGGAAGTTGCCCAGGTTGCTGAGGGCCCGGGCCTCACTCTGGATGTCACGCAGCTCCCGGGCAATGTTCAGGTGGTTCTGATAGTGCTGCAGGGCCCGGTCATGGGCTCCCAGGGCCTGGTAGGCCACAGCAAGGTTCCCATGTGTAGATGCCTGTGAGGCACGGTCATTCACTTCCATGGAGATCTGCAGCTCTTGCCGGTGGTACTTCACCGCCTGGTCGTACATGCCCAGAGCATTGTAGGCATTGCCCATGTTCCCATAGGCACGGCCCTGGGCAGCATAATCACTCAACTCCTGGGCGATGCATAGGTGGGTCTTGTGGAGTTTCAGTGCAGTATCATAATCACCTTTCATCTGATGTATAATTCCTGAGAAAGAGAATTAAAGGAACAGAAAAAGGTTGGAATAACTGATAAGCAATTTGGAAATAATGTAATTTGCAACTTAATTTATACTCCAATACAATCCAGATAAATTAAAGAGTTAAAATAACAGAAGATAGAATTAAATATTTAATAGCTCTCCCAAGGGGGAATAGCTTCCTATGCTTCAAAGCAACAACAACAAAAAAAGACACTGACAGATTTGATTACAAAAATAAGACATTTTTCTAATACAAATATATATCTAAAATTAAAAGGCTAACACAATACTGGAAAATATATAATACATTTAAAAATTCAATAGCTATTGTGTGTAAAGATTTTACTTGGTCTTTTTTAAAAATCCAGATTTAAATTTACTGAAATAGGCAAAGCACTATGTGAGCAGAAAACTCACATCCAAGGAAATCCAAAAAGTACCCAGAGGGAAAAATGCTAATTTCTTTTAATAATCAAAGAAATGCAAAATAAAGCAATGCTGAAGTACCATTTTACTTTTACTAAATTAGCAAACAAAAAAATTTAAACAATGTCCTATACTGATGAGGTTGCCGTAAAACTGGTAAACACATCAACTGCTGGACATAAATTGGCACAGCCTTTGGAGAAGCAGCATGGCAAGAACCACAAATGCAGTTCTTCTCAGACCTTGCAATACTACTCATGGGAGTGCGGTATTCTAAGGAAATCATTTAACAAATGCAAAAGCTATACGCATAATGATATTTACTGCAGCAGTATAGGTTAGTGGAAAATCAGAAATATTTTAAATGGCAAACTCTGGGGGACGTACATCAAATCAGTAGAGGATTATGCACTCATTAAAAAGATAATTATAAAGTCTATGCAGAAAAATGGAGGGGGGCGTCTTACAATTATGTTGAGTGGAAAAAGCAGAAAACAATGCTGTGTGTTCCCTGTGACAACGACTAGGGGAAAAAAATGTATGCACGTGGACAAGACTTTGAGGGGATTATGCAAAAATAAAAATAGTTGTCTTGTTAGGTAATGGGATTTGAATAATTTTTGTTCTAAAATTTCTTGTAATTCTGCTATACAACTTTTACTGTTGACAATAACAGCACTTCAAACAACCCTCATAAACTATGCTATATGCTGCTAAGCTAAGCTATTGTTTTCACAAGCAGCTCAAATGTGATATATCATAAATTCAAGTAGTTCCAAATGAGGGATATTATAAAAGTAACTTTGGAGATGCCTTTAAGGTGAGCCTGGTTCATCCCAGTTGGGGCTGGGGTAGGGACACTGGAAAAGCTAGAGGGAATCTAGTATGCAAACAGGTTTCTCCTTGCTCTTGGTTTTGAACATGCTTTTCCATGCATCAATGTGTGAGCTTTGCAGTGGTGACAAAAACCTGCAGAAGTACAAAAAAACTCAAAGACACCAAGATGGGTTCTTATTAAAATATATTAACTGAAAATAGAGGCACTGAGAAAGAAAGCTGTCAAAATCCAGCCTCTGCAATTTGCTTATAGTCTCTATGACACCTTTCATTAGTTTGTTCATTCATCCTTTTGTTCCTTGTTCATTTGTTTATTTATCCACTCACTTACACACTGACCCTGGAAACATTAACTGAGTACTATATACTAATATTGTGGTGGGCAGCAGGGATAGAGAGAGAAATAAAGACAGGAGTCTGCTCTCAAAAAGCACAGTCATAAAACAAATAAGTCAGTACACATAATACATGCTGAAGGGAGGTGGGGACACAGGAGCGTGTCAGGGCCGCTCTTCTGATCTCCACTTCCTCCCTGCCTGCTATGGAGACCTGCCTGCCACAGGAGTTGTGCTGGTCTCTGGGCCCAGCCATCTCTTTGACATTCAGTGGACTTAGGGTATTGGATAAATCATTTAGCCTCTCAGAGCTTTTTAAGGTTTAGCTATAAAATAAGGAAAATAATAATCATGATACCGACCTTAGAGGGTGCTCGTGAGAATCAAATGAAATAATGTACGTGCAAGTGTATTGTAAACTATAAAGTTAAATTCAAATATTAGTTATTGCAATTACTAGATGCTTTCAGGAAAAAGAATTCTGGAGGCGGTAGAAATGAAATAAACTAAGATAATTTTTCTGTGTATTTGCTGTATGAGTAAAATATTTCATAATTTAAAAATAACTAAGAAATCATGGTACTCTATGCAATGTAATAACATGGTACCTTTAAAAATGGTAAAGTAGAAGTTTACATATTGACATGGAAAAAATTACAATATATTAATGAGATATATGGTCATAAAACAGTACATTTTAATAAAACATTAATAGGATTTATGTATATATTTATATGTTTACATTTATAATATATACACATACAACATAAAATTTATTTAAGTGTTAACAGTAATAATTTTGGGTGGTGGAGTGGTAGTGTTTTTCTTTTTGATTATCTGTACTGTGTTTTTCCTATGATGAATGTATAACCCTTAGGTTAAAAATTAACGAAAGTAGCCCTGGCTCAGTGGTTAAAGTCTGCCCTTGGACCAAACAGTCTTGGGTTCAATTCCTGGTCAAGGGCACATACCTGAGTTACAGGTTCAATTCTTGGCCCCAGATGGAACATGTGAGAGGGAGGCAACCAATCTCTCACCTGCCCCCTTCCACTTTCTCTAAAAATCAATGGAAAAATATCCTCAGGTGACGATTAAAAAAAATAATAATAACTGAAAGTATTTTTGAAACTCTGATCCAATAAAAGGAGTAATATTCCTGGGGATTGGGTCTGGCCACTCCTCTGGGTTGGAGATGTCACCAGCATCCTAGCTGGAAGGATCAGAGTTTTTCAGAACCTGTCTCAAGGTTAGAAACTCTAAGTTGCCCAAGAGGCAATATATCTTAGCATCACCTAGAACCACGCTTAGTGGTGAAAAATTATCAGTGACAGAAACATTTCAGTTCTTAAAGACCTGCATTTGGCCCGTACCCTTGAACTGCTTTTACCTAAAAAGAAAAGTTTTAGATTTCAAATTTCCAGGTATCCTTAGCTTCTGCATTTCTGAAATGAGGATCAAAATATCTGCCCAGCCATGAACCCCCAGTTATGGACGAAGCCCGAGCTGCGGAGGGCAGCAGCAGTGCCTGCATCTCCCTCTGAGCACTTTCTCCCCGAGCAATGTCTTTGCGTTGATTTTCCCCCACAGCTTTTGGATTTCATTGCAATGATGTTTAAGCCGATATGATCACTAGTTGGTTGCTAAGAGGATGTTGAGACCTTCAGAGAAGGCAATCAGAGGAAGCTTGGGTGTTTTGCCTGCTCCCTACCACCAAAGACACAGGTCTCCTTGCTAGCCCACCACCCTCCCCACTTGTACCCCAACACATAGGAAGCTGGCTAAGTGTCTAGAAGGCACACTACAATGAAAAAGAACAGACCTTTAAGTTAGAAGTCCTGTTTTACAAGCTCTCACCTCATTCAGCTGAGTATCTCTGATAGTCACTTGATGTCTCTGGGCCTTTATTTAAATTGAAAACCTTTTCATGTTTTTTTTTGCCTTCTTATTAATAAAGTCAGGTTATGATAATCTCAAAGCAATTGTATGAGAAACATAATAGCATACATCAATAATCTGTGTAAACTATAGCATGCTCTCTAAACATGGCATGAACAGCACTGAGAGAGTGAGAGCAAGGAAAAGAAATGCTATGTCTCACTCTCGCGGCCTTAAGGATCTGGCCTAGTTAATAGGGAACAGTTGGGATGATAATGGCTACCCAGGGTTCAGTGATTTGTGAAAGAAACTGTCTGCTGGTTATGGCAAAATGATCTGACCTCCAGCTGGCTTGCCTGTTCACTCCCCTTTCCTCCTCCCCTTCCTCCTGTCTGACACTTCTAAGGATCTATAAAGAATCATAGTAAGATTCTCAAAACAACTTCCGGACACAGGCAAAAGTAAGAGGCTGAGTGAGAAATTTTTTCAGCTGCCCCGCGTCTCTACTGGTCCCGGCCGCTGCCAGCCTGGAGCATTCTGGACAGAACATTACACACTCTTGGCAGCCTTTCTCTTTGTTGAGGCAACATAAAAGCGGCCTATGAGCTGCCAGCAGAGCGACTGCACATGCTGAGGAGATAATCTGCAGATCCTCCTTCCCTTTGGAGACCACAGCTTGATTTTCCAGGGCCGTCACTCAGATAAAGACTTACAGAGGGCCTGTCAGCAGGGGTGCACTAGGTGACAACATGCTGCAGAGAGGGGAATTAAATGAAGATTAGTGGGGCAGAAGATCATCCACAAAGCAGAGTTCTCACAGGGGGTGTGGAGAAAGGACACATGGTTATAGATTTATACATCAGCACGGCAGGCCTCCACCTATGTGTCACTGCCATGGGAATAGCAATACCTACTTCAAAGAGCCGCTGTGAAAGCTAAGGCTATCATGCTTACTAGAAGCTAGCACAGTGCTGGGGCATAGTAAGTGCTCAATGCATTTTGTGCTTATCATTAACCATTACCAGCAAAGACCAATGGATGTGTGTGAACAGGACAAGCCAAGCAAAAGAATTTTTACTGAAACTAGAACAGTTAGTGTTTTAGCAGTGAATTCTGGCTGCCTTTTCACTTGTGAATTCTGTAAAAGTAGAGCTTCACTGTATCTCCACAAATAATGAAAGTGCTCTTCTCATTTACTGAAAATGTTATTGTTCTGATTACTGATAGTACATGATCCAAACTAGGGTTTAAGAGCTCATCTACTCTTTTTCTCTGCTTTCATCCTAGCCATATCACCAGCTGTTCTCAGGGGAACAGATCTGGGAACTGGAAGAGTCCCTCTCACAGACTCACTGTAAATGACATGACCTGGGCTAGTGAGAGGAAGTGAGTTAGTGGCAGAGCTGAGAAGGGACTCTTGACCCACATGCCCTCAGCTATACAAGCCTATCTGCTTTCAAAATAAGCAGAAGACATGAAGGAACTGTTATTAATTAGTCTCACTACGTGTGACATGGGACAGTAGCTGTGTT